TGATTGATATTTTGTGGAAAACATTTTTTTCAGGATTCTTGTTTGATTAGAAAGTTTAAAAGAACAGAATTTGTTGAAATAGTAATCTTTTTACGGTCACTTTTGGTCAGTTGAATTCATCCTTGCTGAATTAAATTAATTTCTTCCTTTCAAAAAAACAAAAAACAAATCAGCCCACAAAGTGACAATAAAGATATGGACAATATAAACACAATAGACTGTTACCAACACTGCATATTATTTACATTGTCTTATTTTACTGTTTACCTCAATTTTACAGTACAGATGAAATAATAAGACATTGTGCTAAATGGCCTCAAAAACTCATGCTAAATATGCCATTAATTTGTCTGTGATTTGTTAGTAACTTTTTTCTTTTCTCCCTGGTGAATTATCTTTTAAAGTATTAGTAAAATATTCATTGTTTAGGATGTGTTGATATACTGTATACCAAAGGTGTCAATAGTCAGGTCGGCATGAGTTTAGAACATAAATATTGTGCTTCAGTTTTCACCTAGCTGTCTTTTTTTTACATTTTCTGTCATTAAAGACAAGTTTTTGTAGCTCGGTTATTTAAAGCAGAAAATGTACTCCCTATGAAAAGACTCCTGAATGAAGAATGAAGAAAATATCCAGTATCAGCTGCTTGACGGCATGGTAAAATCTCCACAGAGCCAACTCCCCCATCTAGTCATTGCTCCAGTCTTCAGTTTCACATGATCCTTCAGAAATCTTTCAGATATGCTGATTTGCTGCTCCAGAAACATTTTGTATTATTATCAATGTTGAAATCAATTGTGCTGATTGATATTTTGTGGAAAACAATTTTTTCAGGATTCTTGTTTGATTAGAAAGTTTAAAAGAACAGAATTTGTTGAAATAGTAATCTTTTTACGGTCACTTTTGGTCAGTTGAATACATCCTTGCTGAATTAAATTAATTTCTTCCTATCAAAAAAACAAAAAACAAATCAGCCCACAAAGTGACAATAAAGATATGGACAATATAAAGTCAATAGACTGTTACCAACACTGCATATTATTTACATTGTCTTATTTTACTGTTTACCTCAATTTTACAGTACAGATGATATAATAAGACATTGTGCTAAATGGCCTCAAAAACTCATGCTAAATATGCCTTTAATTTGTCTGTGATTTGTTAGTAACTTTTTTCTTTTCTCCCTGGTGAATTATCTTTTAAAGTATTAGTAAAATATTCATTGTTTAGTATGTGTTGATATACTGTATACCAAAGGTGTCAATAGTCAGGTCGGCATGAGTTTAGCACATAAATATTGTGCTTCAGTTTTCACCTAGCTGTCTTTTTTTTACATTTTCTGTCATTAAAGACAAGTTTTTGTAGCTCGGTTATTTAAAGCAGAAAATGTACTCCCTATGAAAAGAAAATATCCAGTATCAGCTGCTTGACGGCATGGTAAAATCTCCACAGAGCCAACTCCCCCATCCTCCTCCTGTCAGGGACATGAAATTAGAGGCCCAGAATAATTTTTCCCTCTCGTTAGTAGGTAAATATTATGTAAAATGTGTAAAAAGTTGTTTTCATTAGGCAAAAACTGAAGTTCAGGTTTCGAATCTTGGGGGAAGCTTTAGAGTTTTATGTTCTGGTGGACGGGCAGAAAAAGCAACTCCATCTCCTCAAAGTGTGACATTGTGTAAACACTCTGGTAGCGGATTGCAAACAACCAGTGTTGTTGTGTTGGTTAGCATTAGCATTATTAGCATCACAAAGACTATATTTTCTCAGTTTTCTCAAAGCAGAAATTGCTCATAGTTTGAAGAAGTGTAATTGTGCTATACAATAACAATAATGACATTCCATCAGGGCATCCATTTATTGTCCTTCAGCTGAATTACTTTAGTGAGTAATGAGTAGCTCAACTTCAGCCAGTTGCTTTTAGTGGCTCAGCTGTGGGCAATGCATGAATCATAGCATAATTATGCATTTGTGACATAATTTCTTGATAACCCCTGGTGCAATGCAGGACACAGTAGATCCCCCCATGTGTCTAGATTTCAAGCAGACATCTCTGCAGCCTCCCAGTAAGACTGCAGGGTCCCATCAAGATAATCCTTAATAAAGAAAGGCTTCACTTTTAATCTTACCCACTTCTCATATTTCTAGCTTGATATAGTTTTTGGCAAGTAATGTTTTAGCACTGATGTCAGTCTAGGACTATCAATGCATCTTTGTTAAGTCCATCACGGGCACATAATAGGAACATCGCAAGCTTGATTGTCTAATTCTAAAGGGCCGTTTTGCTAAGTGTTTAAGTCTAGCGGAAAAATAAGGCTGTTAAGGCCTAAATTTAGACTCTCGGATTTAGGATCAATATGATATATGAATCAATATGAATATCAATACAAACAAAAAATAAATATATACTTGTACTTGTTATATATATATATATATATATTATTCATTATTTAATTCCAAAAATACATAATTTGCAGTTCAGAACTAAATACTATTGAATATTCTCACACAACTCTATTACACAATATGATAAACCATTTTATCAGAACTTTGAAACTAGCTTTATACTTTGAAACTAGCAATTAGTTTATTTTCCCTTGATATGAATTTAGTTTGGTTGTTTATGGCCTTTCATGTTAGTGAGTCAATATACCTCTCAGAATCTTAATCTCAGTCTTATTGAATATTATGAGAGATCTTTCACCTGATATTGTGCTATTTATAGTTATGGTACAGTAATGTGAAACATACCTTTCCGTTGACGTTAAAGCTTTGCTTAGGGGAAATTGAAAGTGTTTGCTTGGGATACATAAACAACTTGGGATAATTATGCTGCGCAATTTTAAAATATCTGCAAAATTACATTGAAAGTTAATTTTATGTGCGAGGGAGGGGGTTATAACTCGATTGGCGTATAAACCCCTCAGCTACGGCGAATAGTTACTTGAGATCCCCTCTGCATTTATTAGTCTATTGAGTTATCAAGAGCCTCTTCAAAATGCAATATATTTAATTTTCTCAGGCTGAAATGTGAAACGCCGGCTTTTACCTGTAGGCACATCTGTAGCGTAAACGCCTGTGCATTTGCATGACAACTGCTTTAGTAGCACCACATCTAGACAAGGAGAAGTCAAGCTTAGGTCTATTTATACTGAGGTGAATGGCAGAGGTTTGACCTGCTGTCCCATATATGGCTGCTGAGTCCATTTCATTGCGACACACCAGCATCATGAAGGTGTGTGAGTAAATTTGTGAGTGTGTGTGTTTGTCTTTTTAGGCACCTTGTAGCATATTAGGGCAATTTTTTAATATAGGTATACAGTATATATAAAATAAGGCACATGCTGCTTTTGTTCGTTATGAAACAAATTGTTTAGAGATTTATTTATATTTGATAAATTAATTGAAAATGTAATTGTTATTTTCACCATATTGTATGTCCAATTAAAAAAGTAATTTTCCCCGTACAAACAAACAAACAAAACTACTTAATTACATATTTCTTTATATATTTAAATTTTATATGATTTTAATATAAATCCACTTTACGTTTGTTTGTTTGTGTGTGTGTGTGTGTATATTCTTTTTATTCTTTTTGTATAAAAATGAATGTACTTATATTGTTATATATACTTATATTTTATATACATTATATGTATATAATGTATAATATACACTGATGCACATGTTTGTTAATGTATGTTCATTTACATTTTCACATGTTTATGGTCTTAATAATGTAACATAATGTTACGTGCTGTAATGTAGCTTAAAATTACATTACAATTAAGACCATTATATTAACATATGTTATTTCATATTATATATATA